AGTAAACAACACTGAAATACTAAATTTAAATTACCAACTTCATACTTTTAATTGTTACTCTGTAGTAATAGTGATCTCATTAAAGACAGCCATCCAAAACATATAGTGAAATACATATAATTTTAATTAAACATTAAAAAATAATAATAATCTGTTGCTTAACTTTAAACTCAATTAATGTTAATGGTATCATGTATTGGCCCATTTGCAATTTGCTTACATGATGCAACTGCTTAACAATGAGTCTGACAAATATCATATGACTAAATTATGCACAAATAAATTAAATCTTATTTTTGCCATTATCCACCTTCACTCCACATTCATCTTTTGCTCTTTATCTCACATAGAGAGTCAGCTACAGAAGCAAACACTGTCATTAACTTTCGAAAACTTCAATCAATCACACCTTTACATTAAATTTTGGAAATTCTTCTCAAAACTTCATAAAAACCTATGCAGGATATCAGCAAGTTCCGAGGAGGAAGGTTATAAATCTTTCCCTTTGATAGGTGAATCATTCACTGCTTTCTTGAATTAAAATCACTTTAAAATTTCGATAATACATACAAATTGTTATCAAAAAATAATTCTATTACTAGATAACAAAAATTACACTTCAGATAAGCAACTTACATTCAGAAACAATCTAAAATGTATATTTCATTTAGCTTATTCAAAAAAAATCATTTTTGACTAAATGGTAATAACATTTGTACTAAAAAGAACAAAACAGAGACACTGAACATGATGGGACACAGGGCATGACAAAATACATAACACAAAAATCTTATGAAAACAGTAATGTTTAAGTTTAAATATTACTTACAACATATACTGTCTCAACAGCAGAGTAGTCTTTTCTTAAAATTCACATTTTGTACTCTAACTCTTTTGCTACAAACTCGATCGATTCTACTTTAAAATGTGCCCCAAACTGACCTTTATAGTTTCCACACAATAATTTCTAATATGTTTCGTGTATCTTCACAAAATTTCACAAGCTTTCAGTAAGCACTAAATCATTTGTAGACAAAAGATTAGAATTTTTAATGAAGTAATTTTTCTAAGAATTTCTCCAGGAATATATGGAGTCAAAATGTTGACTGCTCTGAGTGCAAAATAATTCTCATGTTAATATTAAAAATACTTTTCTTCATCTGAAAAATTTCAAATTTCATTTGTGTAATCCCTAAAACCTCCTATATGAATTTCAAACTTTTTTCATTAAACTTTATATCTTATCTGATATTTTTCTAACCTAAATCTATATGAGGTTGGTCAATTTCACCGACCTCATAACCATCACCAAAAATAAATCTAAATTACTATTTTTTCTTTCTAAAATGACTTCATACTGTAACATGAAACTACATTTGTTTATCCTATATAGCTTTAAACTCATAACAGTATACATCTGTTTATATTTAAATTTCATTTTTTTATTGCCCTTTGAACCATATTTAACTAATATTCCAGCCAAAGACATTGTAAATCACTTGGCAAATGTACAGCTCCCATTACCCTATTGAATTACGTAATGCATGTGCTATTCGTGACTATACCTTATGAAAATTTTTTACTATTTTTTTATTTTACCTAATCTAACCTAAAAAGTTTCTAACTTTTACATTTTAGTTACTTTTATAATAATAAAGAAATAATACACATGAAAAACAAGAAATATAGTACTTACCTGGGGTCTTCTTTTTTCTTTTCTTTTGCTGTCAACTGACTATGATACTTAACCCTACTTTTTCGTTTTACACTAATGGTACTGCTGCACTAAATAATGTTTTATTCAATTAATAATTCATCAAAAAACACAAAATAATAAAATGCAAAAAGCAGACAATATCCTATAACTATCACAATTTCTCTGTTTTTCTTACTATGTGACAAGAGCCATTAAAAATTCAGCTAAGCTCGTTGATGTGTTTCCAATGGGATAAAAGTTTCAACTGGAAGTGAATTAGACAATTCTCTGTACAGAAAACAACATAATATAATGGATCATTTCATAGATTAAAACTTTGGCTTTCTATTGGTTGTAAGTAATATAGTATCAAATGCCAGAGAGAACTATTAGCAATTTCTGAAAGACAGAATGTGATAGATGGTTGTGACAAGAGGGGTCTGATTTTCTATTTTATAGCTCTCTAACTAAACAAGATTGAAGGCTATAAAAATTATGCTTTGCCTGAAAGACTACAACATTATAATGAGTAGCTTACATTAAATTACTTGGAGGAGTAGTAAATAAATTAGAGAAGAGGGAATGCCTAGAGAGCAAATATCACAATTCTAATACTAGGGTAAATTCAGGATTTTTTAAATATTGCTTTATAAAATTAAGAATTTAAAACTTGTATAATATTAAAACATGGATTATTAGCTACATTTTTATGCCAAGTGTATTCATATACCATGATAAACAAGTAGTTTAATTAAATTTTGAATGTAACTCAGAAAAACCTTGTGACATGTGCAGAAAAGGATGTCCATAGCAAAAGGGTTAAGTGTGTGATATTTTATACTTTATTCTTATCGGTTCTTTCTTCTTTTTTTTTTGCAAAAGTTACACAATAACTTCATTTCTGTATGCTCCTCATACTACCAATCATATATTTATGTTACTTATAGCTAATATTCTAATCATAACTCCAAATTATTATACATGTAAAACATTCCAGCTACTACTACAAATGACCAATAATTCTAAAACCAGGTTAGAATTTAAAATCTTTTATAGCTGAAAATTATTCTAAACTTGAACCAGAAAAAATATTTTAAATATGATAACAGTATTTGAAAAATATTAGTCAGAACAACTGAAACATTGAAACTCAACTACTCCTTCAAATAATGCAGAATAACATAGTACAGATATTCAGTTTTACTTTAGGAATTAACAAACTGTGGAATATATATTTCTTTTTTTTTTGTTTTTTTGTGGAGATTCAGTTGGTTAGCTGTAGAGTGCAAGGTAACAACTTACCTTTTTAAGAGCTTCAAGTTGTTCATTAAGTTCTTCGATGGTATGATTGTGTTTTTGTCTAATTTCACTGATTTGGTTTTCATGAGTGCTAGCTTCTTCTTCCAGGGTTTTCTTCAACATGGCCAGTTCTTGTTCACGTTTAGTCCTGAGATCCTGTTGGGCAGCAGTCGTGTCCAGTGAGTCCAAAAGTTCATTCTTCAGTGCTTCAAGTTCCTATAACACAGCAGTTAGACAAGCCATTTTATTTACTCCTCCCCAAAAAGCTGCAACTCAACTACTCAATTGATTTAGTTTTAGCTAAATAGATGAGCTGGTGGTTTTCATAACTCAGGAAGAATGAAATTCCCAAACCTTTTCCTGACCAAAACATGTTTTTCCTTGGCCATTTCATCTATGTTTGTAATGTATCATTAACTGCAAAAAACTGTGAAATTACAAAACGTTATTTGTGTATTTTTTAACAAAGACAAAATATGCCATATTTTAAGAGTCGCAGCATGCTCAAATGTCATCTTGGAAAGTTCCAACATGATCGGTCATGCTGGTCTCAAATTACTGATACTTATCAGAACTTAAAAAACAAAGGAAGTTTATCCATTTTTTGTGATACTAAGTACCAATCACTTTTCAATTTTAATTTAAATCACAAAAACATTACAACATAAACAACACTATAGATTTTAACATTTGTGATTATTACGTTTCAACTTATAATACATGGAAAGAACATGTTGATGTTCACTGTTCTAAAGTGGAATATTCTTTAACAAGTACACATCTCATATGTCAAATATTTATTAGAACAATATTTTCTGATGTTCATACATGCACAAAAGTGTACAAAACTTTCAGTTATTAACCATATTGTGCAGTAAACTCATATTTCCAATATCTATAAAACAAATGTACACAATCATCCAGAGAACAATGTATTATTCTAGCAGGCGCTTTGAAACTGTGCTTATCAAGTTCAGCTATATCAAAGGTATTGAAATCTTTGTATTAATGTGATCATATTTTTACAGATAGATCACATTATCAGGAATATTTTCAGGTTTATGCAAGCTTTGTTTGTTCACAAGATTGCCAGATCATTTATACTTACAAATAATTAAGTTACAAATTAAAATTATACATCCACATTTCATCCACAAAAGCAGACTTGCTTATAAACATCCGCAACATTTATACAGTAGAACCTCGATTAATGGGGACCTCAAAACAACAGGTACTGAGCCATTAAGGGTAGACCATTTCAATCTCTTTCTTTTTTTTACTATTTGTAACCAAAATAAATCTTGCAATAATGGGCACTTCCATATTCTGGATTAAGGACAGTGTCTTTAGTCTCACTCTTTATATGGGCACTTAATAAAGTGGGCAGTTATTTTTGTATGCCTGTATGGTATTATTGCTAAATTCCAAACCTCCCAGAAGGATGACCAATATTCTAACACTTGCGATGTTTACTGGGACGGTTCCGAATCATATACTGTAATAAACATTTTCATAGATTCAAAGTACAATCTCATTACTCTGGGGAATTATTATTGTAAACACTGTAGGATACATAAGCTGATAAATTCCACATCATGTTCTCAGAGCAGGGGTCAAGTCGACTTATTTCTGTGCATGTGCTTTCTTACTCTCGAGAGTATCATATTACACTGTCATGTAAACAGTACTTTATATTTACCGTACTAACTTTCTGAATTTTAAGCCCCCCCCCAATTTTGTTTGGTGTATGCAGGACACGGGTGTTTCTGAGTTGTATGTTGCCATGATATGAAGTGTTGTCAACAGGAGGCCTCAGGGGGTGGGTTAGCTGTACCCTTTTTTCTTTATTATTGGTCACAAAGTTTCAGAATCCAGCTTTGCGTGGCTCATTTTTGATACTAGGGGCACCTTGCTACAGAGGGCATTTGGATGAAGTGAGAAGGGTGCCCTTAATGTTGAAGTTCTACTTTAGTTGTATTATAATCCTATGCTATAATAATGTACAACTGTACTCATAGAGGCCACAATAACTGGCACAGACACAGATGTTACTGTATGAAAAATGTTGCCACTGACAGTGATATTGAATAATAGAATTACACCACTCAACTGACTCAAGTGTCAATTTTCATTTTATTCTTTGATAATGTAACTTATTACATAAAAACTGCTACAACGTAAAACTTTTGTTAAAAGTATTCACATTACGTTTATTATAGCAGACCTTGGATTTAGACACAATGATAAAATACTAAAACATTGCCTATACTTGATCATACTAACTCCATATAATTAATAATTGATGTCTCAATCTCAAGAGCATACCTTGATCTGAAGGCCCATAGTTTCAAACAAAATCAAAACTATCAATCTAATTCTGTCACAGTGCACATGCTTATTTTTACTTTCAGTCTTTAATCTAACCTATCCCTAGCATCTTGTTTGTTACTTGACAAACATTAAATTTTCCTAAAATGTTCCTTACATATCCAATGCATTATAGATTATTAGACAAACAGAACATATTCATTATTCATTGACACAAGTTATAGTAACCAGACATCTCGGTTTTGCTAGGACAGTCCTGTTTTTTGATATTTTGTCCCGGTGTCCCAAGACAAGTTCTTTGGATGCACAAAACAGTTTTATGATAAACACATCAAACTGTCAGCCACATCAAATCATGAATGTAATAGGCCTACTTGACTTGCTCATTGTTGTAACACGTACTCTCCTGCCTCCAAACTCTCTAGAAAATTTCATCTGTGTGGTGAGAAACCCAGGTCTGCATAAGCTTCTTAATTAGTAGTACTGTAGTAGACCTATAGCAGTTGGTGAATGTGTGGAGGATGATTAAACATCAGGGGTTGTTCTCTAAAATATTTTTGTTATTGAAAATGTTTATCCTTTCATAGTGTCAAAATGCCAAAAAAAACGTTTTTTCAGATACTTTTAAAGGCAAGTGAGTTGAATGCACTATTTGCAAAACTATTTTTTTATAGCAAAAAGTGGAAGATCAGACATTACATATCACAATTCCAAGAAAAAGCATAAGGAGCATTTTGAAATTATAGGCAAGGGCTGGGCTGTCCTGGTTTATGAATTTGGAAATCTGGTTACCCTAACAAGTTCAAAGAGTCATGGATAACAATAGTGCCCTATTCTTGGAATCTTTTACATGTGCTATATTAGTTACTGTCAATGAAACATTCTATAATTTCAATATCTTTATACAAAACATATCTCCAAATAATTGATATTATACACTGCCATCCACATTTTACTTTATATGATATTTCTTGACTTACACTGGTGATATTATGTCTCTTGGAGGTATCTCCTGTCAACAACACCTGCCAATCTGAACAACTTATCCTGAGATTTGTTTTATCTTTGAACTTCTAGGTTTTACAAAAATAATAAAACTGTCTGCTTTTATTTTGATGTATTTCAAATATTTCTTACACAAATATGTCAATGAAATAATATACTCAGGGTATTATGTGTTCCTTCTATGACTACTAATCTGGGAACTGTTTTATTAATGCACTAAAATCTTTAAGATGAAAATAACTTATTTAATGGAAATAGACTATTTCTAAATAGTAATTTGTTAACGGCTTTTAGTTTTAGTCTGAAGTAAAGCAGTATTTCATGACTTGGTTTAAGGAAGACAAGATGAAGCCTTGTCCAGAGCCATTACCCTCCTTTTAAGTGGGAACCTAGCTACTGTTTAAATAAGTTACATTTACATTCATGAAAATTAATAGTAAACAAAAAAACGTTTATGCATGAAATACACATATTGACCTTCTAAATGTGTCAGAATTAAACTGTATGTGATTTTTTTGGAATTAATGATAATATATATATATTTTTACAACTGTATGCAAGAAGCATCAACGAATCACGGGAAATTCCCCGACTTCTCCCAGTTTTGTCTGTTAAATGAGATTCCCTGATGTGTCATGGACAAGGAATGCAAAATAAAAAATTCACCAACTTTTCTCAGTTTCCCTAACCAATGGGAACCATTGTATATAGTTTTGACACACAACAGTTTCTGGACAAGTTACTTTCCACAGTTTATAAACACCAGCAGCTAAAGTTGTCAGTTGATATAATTCTGGTATAGCAAAAACCACAAGTCAGCACAGAGTTCATATAACATAGCAGTTAGTAAATATATTTTTACTGAGCTACATTAGGTGTTTAAATGATAAGAATAAATTATTTAAAATAGCATAAGAAACAAAATATTAATTATTAAAACATAAATCTATTCAGTTTCTTGAGATTGAAAATTGTATTTTATTTGTATACAACTTTACTGAATGAAGTGCTTTACATTTAAAAAACAAATAACTTTATATCTACTACTAAAGTTTTCTGTGTAAAGGCTAAGTGTAATTCATCAAACATTACTACCTACAGTTATTATGTATATAGTACTAACGTTTTCTGTGTAAAGGCTAAGTGTAATTAATCAAACATTACTACCTACAGTTATTATGTATCAAAAAGGCAATGTTAAACAGCTACTGAACTCCTTATTTTCAAACTTATTTTAACTGTTAAATCTGTCAGAAACAAAATAATACACTTCTTTAGATGTATAATACTTTACTCATCACTAATAACCTAAGTGCAGGTTACTTAATAGGTTATTAGTGGTGAGTAAAGGACTATACACCTAAACTAAACAAACTGGTTACACTGTCCCACTACATGAAGCCCACTTTATGAATTTTTCTCTTCATAGTAGCACTGATGAGCTGCAAATTCGGTCAAAAGTAGTCTGTTGCAGTGGGAACAGTGAATCAAAAAATAGATTAGACCCCCACATCATCTTTTCTTCACTGAAATTTATGTTTTGGTGAAGGAAAGAAATTAAAAACTTTTCAGATATAAACAAATGTTTCAATTTGAGTTTAATGCGAGTGTTATAATTTAGACAGTTTATATAGTGTGAGTGTTAAACTTAGTTATCTTTAGAAGCAAGTTTATCGCAACTTTGTTACATAACTGTTTTCAAATCATACCTTGAATAGTTCAATTGTTGTATTATTGTGTCATGTTACTAGAAACTTCTAAGTTTTCTCATTGTTTTAATTGAGTATTATTGCATCATAATATCTCAGTGTGTGGAACATTCTAGGCCTCTGTTTAGTTAGTTATATAGTTAAATAGATCTATACTGTTTGATTACAAGTTTAGCCATGAAGAGCTGGTAATGGTGATTTTTAAAGTGAAATTATCACAGATTGTATTGTAATAACAGAGTAGAGAATAATAATTTGTCTTGTTAATTGTGTTCTAAAGCCTGTGTGTAATTTGATGAAAACGAGACAATTATTTAAAGCTCTGGATACAACTGTGATAATCAACAGTATAACAAATGTTTGTATACATGTTTGATTTGCTTTAATATATTATTTTAAAACAAATGGACTGTATGCTGATATAACATAACTCACTATTATAATAGCTCAATCTTGATCCATTTTATTAACAAATTTAAAACATAAGTATGAGTAGTTTAAAATGTTTTTCAAAATAGCGAAGTTAATTAAGATTTGGTAATTTTTGTTTATTTCTAAAGAAAACAATAACTATAATTTGATTTAGTTTTGATGATATGAGTTTCAACAACAAGTGACCATTCTTACTTCATTTAAGTCACGTTTCTGCTTCTCAGCTTTCATCCTTGAATTTTTTTCCGACTCTAGATCTTCTTGAACTTCTGCCAACTGACTTTCAATCTCTCGTAGTAGCTTCTGGGATTGTGCCTTAGCTACAGCTTCCTCATCTCCCCTTTAAGATATTTCCATTTATCATAATCAGCTTTTCAAATATAATGTTCTTAGACATTTGGTCTATTGAGTTTCAAACTTACCTAAACAAGATGTTGCTTTCAGCAAAACATCACAAATGTAATAAATAAATCAAAACATTCAAATTAAAATTAATTTGTGCTTGGAAGAGATTATGGTTGTGTATTTGTACACACAAGCTAAATATGGAACATCGTAAGAATTTAATCAAACAGGAACTTGTTTTGAGAAAACAATTCAAAACTAGATTACCAACTTATATAAATACATAGCAGATGGAAAAAAAGAAGTTCGATGAGACAGAAAAGATTATCTTCCAAGGAATTAAAGTCAATAACAAGGATTATCATAAATTTTATTAAAATTCATGCACAAACTTAGGCACATTTGATTACAATGTAACCTTTACTTAGTTACATACTGTAAGCATAAGATGTTGTTGTTCCTGTGTCTATTTTATATGAGATGATAAAAATACAATGCTGTATATGCCACTAGAATGAATGGTGCCATTTTGAAATTTAAGTTCACTGTTAACGTAGATTCATACCAGACAAGTTGTAAATAACTCCACTTTATAAAGTATTTATATAATCTTTTATCCTCTTTTGGAATAAGTTAAGATTAATGCAACTTTATATAGCTAGACATCTGTACACGTGCATTTAATGTATTTTTTTTTAATGTTTTCCATTTTGATCTAGAGAGTTCAGTTTGAAACATCTTTGACCATTAGAAATGAGGGTGACTGTCAGGGAGGAGCCCTATGTACAAATTCTGGTAGTGTAAAGAACTGATACTTTTGTATATGACATAAATCAGTTTTTGGGAGCTTCATCTGCAGATTTTACTTTCATGCACCAAAGAAACTTTTTCGTTCATGTGGTAATTGATAATGCTTTGTTAGTGACTAAGGCTTTAAATCAATACCCTGTACATAAAAATGTAACAATAATAGTGTTGGATGGAATTTTTCAACAATCTATAAAAGTTTGTATTTCTCATATCACACATTTAAATAAATGAAATTGCATAATTCAGATTCTTATCAATATTTATATAAAATGTTATATTTTGTATCGACTTAGTATTTGTTATTACATTGCTCAGTTTTGTATCATATAAATAATATTTTGTGTATCATAATTTCTTTAAATCATAAAATAAAATCAGCAAAACACCAACTTTGAAAGTGTATCAAATATGCCATGAAATCAAACAATATGAGATGGAAACTACTGTCATTAAGTTGCAATTGATATGTAATTTTCATAACTTTAATCCAAAATTACAAAACCTAACATCAATCTTTTGATACCACTAACTTTCTAATATTCCGTTATATAAAGCTACTTGATATTATGCTTCTAAGTTAAGCAACTGAAAGAATCACTACCTCAATAACATAAATAAAATACTTATACAAAGTATCTGGATAAAAATTCATTTAGATGATTAAATTTGATTAAGTTGCAATATGTCTGCTTATATCTGAGTGATACATACCAGTAGGTTTAAAGGGACTTGCCATTATTCCCTGAGATAGGTTATCTTTCATACTTATGTCAATTTTTTATGCATATATTTTTATCTCTATAAATAGTACAAAAATAGGTATTCTGACAGAGTTCTACTTTATTTAATAAAATATAACAAAAAGTGAGTCACTCGTAACAGAAGGTTCAATAAGAAACCTTCATTCAAACTCACAGAAAAAGTACTTGAAGTATGAAATGACACTTATAAATCACTACAAATAACTTTTCTGTTGAAGTAGGAACTTATAAAATGTTATCTGCTTGTAACATTCCAATATAAGTATCTTAAAAGATTCATTGACAAGTCTGATATGCTTTCAAGCCAGCAAACATATTCTGTTAAGAAAATCCAAAGACAACCCTTACATCCAATAGTTTCTAATCCTTTTTTATTAAACCTCAAGATATGAAAGGACAAAAAACTTAACCTGGGTACAAATTTATTTCCATAAACACATATAAAAATTGTTTGATGCAAATGTTTGAATTTTTATATCTAAAATTAATAAGTAACATTTCTTGATTTAACAAAAAACAAAGGGGTTTAATACCTGACAAGAGTTTGGTTTAATTCTTCTTCACGTTTAGCTAGCTGCATCTGCAGATCTTCTACTTGTAATTTCTTTTCACTGAGCTGTTCCTTTACATCATTTAGTTCAGTTTCAAGTCTTCGTTTTACTCGTTCTAACTCCTGTCTCATCTGGACACCAAAATCAATAGTAAGAAGAATTTTAAAAATATATTTCCACTTTAAATTCAATGTGTAAGTTTTAATTAACACAAAAAATAACTAAAAAACAACCACTGTTTGCCTCTTTAGTCAAACAAGCGCAGGTGGTAATAATCCAAATATAATTTACTTTCTGCTTACTAATCTAGCAATTACTGCATTTAATCTATTTTCCAGTGCTGTAACATGCCCACAACATAAACTATTAATGTATAGAACTTAAAAGTGTTAAATAATGTCCATCTCTAACTACTGAGTGGATTTGTCATACATTCATGATATTTCGTTATAATAAAACGTTCAAAGTGTGCAATTTCTCGCTGCACACCCAACTACATTATATCTTTCATCTTGAACAGTCTTTTACTAATATCATAGACTTAATAACCATTAGTAAAAAAAATGTTATGATACAAAACTAAACTTTCCCCACTTTGACAAGTACAACATACCATATTGCCCTAAATACAGCTTAATAATTGATAAATTAATATGAAAATAAGATACATTCTACTACAAAGGCTTCAACATATGATGCATTAAAATATTTTTAATACTCATTCATTTGGGTACTTTTTCTTTGTTCAATCAAGTTTAAATTAAAAGAATGTATTTATGGAATGGCTAATTTTATTTAGTTGATGATACTCAATTCTATGAAATCATAACACATTTATTTACAAACCAGCTTAATTTATATGATACCAAAAAGTTACACCTGGTCCATCTTTTAATTAGTTTATATCTACTCGAGTATGGAAGCAAATTATGGTAATAAATTGTCAAAAGAAAGTGATTTGTTTTAGGGGGAACATACTACTTATTTCAACCAATGTTTTGTTGAAACATGTAGTTTGTTCCTCCCAAATATAAATCACTTCATTAAACTTGTAAATCATTGTTTTGCCAATTTGTTTTTATTTTATATTTAAAAGAATCATAATATATTAAAGTTTTAAATTAAAACATTTTCAACATTCAGTAGGTTGTAGCTGTCCCCTTTTTAATTTTGTAATATATTAAAACATAAACAATTAATAATTTTAACATTATAACAATGACCTATGTATTTTGCAAGTAGGTTATGTAGCTCTTGTGAAAGTTCTTTACAAAAACAAACCTAGTGGATGAAATTGTTTGAAATTTGATACAAACTGTCATAAAAGTATGTAGTTTCAGAAAATAAAATATTTTTTTTATTTTTCTACTATTTTGATAAAAAAATCGTTATTTAATGTAGTTATTTGCACTTGCATTCTGAATAGTTCACATGCAAGACGATTTTTATTTTTGAGTATAAGAATACTATTTATCATCTTACAGCTTTCACATTTCATTTCCATAACCTCTAGAACCTTCTAAATGAATATCAAAAGTTTTTTAAGGTAAATGTTTATAATTGTATTTTCCATTTTCTTTACTATATCACTAACTCTAGCTATTATCATCAACATACAGTGCAATGAAGTGTTTAAAATTAACAAATGGAAATACATTCATACCTTTTAACAGTCTATCAACCTAATATGTATAAGTTGAGAAAGTATAACTAAACGTTAGGGACCCTGCTCTCAACAATGGACTTAGACTCATTTACCTCATTTGAAAACAGATGTATAAATGCAAGTTTCCTCTTACAATAATAATATTCAAGAGCAAAATCTGCTCTTTCTATTGGTTATAAGTATGTCATTCAACTTAAAACTGTCACTTAGCAACACAGCATCTACTTTGAAAGTGGGCATGGCTTATCTTAGACTCTGGAATTTCTCAATAGCTTTAGTTCTTGCAGTATCTCAAATTACATTTTCAAGAACTTGTATGTGAAGCTTTAGCTGTCTGAGCCAAAGCGAGGCTACATTTCTCACACATTTCTCCTATATGACTCTAAAGTTGAGATTTTTAACTGTGGTCAAGATACGTACTGAAGTTTTAATTATTGTTTTAAATATTTTTAAATAAAGGAATAAAAACATATAAAATATACAACTTTGAATTACAATGTACCCAATAATAATTTCATTAAAATATACTTATTGCAAAATGGTTAAATTACATTTCGAATGTAACTCAATAACATGCATAGAGACAGGTTTAAAAATAGCCTTATTATCATAAGGTTGAAAAGATGCAAATAAAATTAATAACATAACACTGAATGCTTATATTGTTTTCTTTTAGATATTTTCCATACCATTTTGTGTTACAGACTTACAATTGTTTACTTCTATCTTTTCTCTTTACAGGACAATAATACTATCAGGAGAATACAAATTAAGACTGTTTTTATACTAGAATTATGAATAAACTTTGTGATTTTTAACATGGTTCCTCACTCCAACCATTCTGTATTTTTCAGAGTTAAAGTTATTCTCATTACTAATACTCTCTGACTCATTATTTTCTCTCACAGTTAAAAATGCAAACTCCAATGAGTAAATTTAACTTTCCTTAGGAAATACACAGCATTAGGCCTATCTGTTTTTTCAGGATAATGATTTTGATCTTTCCAGATTAAAACTAGATAGCTTTCCAATGTCTTAATTCCTGAAGTATGCCCATACCTGTTGTTCCTTTCGCAGCCTTTCTTCCAAATCTGTAATAGTTGCTTCATGTTTTGATTTGAGTTTACTGAGGTGTTTTGATTTTTCCTCTTCTTCAGCCAAACACTGAGAAAGTTCAGACTGGCGGTCCTCAAAAGCTTTCTTTTCTTTAGCTAGCTGCAAATAAGGTAAACAAAACAAGTAATTAAAAATTAGATAAAAATCATTACTTAAAAGCTTGAAAAACATCTAATAGTTGCTCATGCTGTGATATTTTTCTAATCTGCTGGTACTTGTTTCTTCAGCAGAAATCAAGAATAGATAGTCATATTTTACAGTTAATTCTAACCCAATTTACTTTTATAAACAAAACCAACACATGTTTATTCTGAGAAAAAGTAACACATTTTTCTTTAAAAAAAACATCTCTTCACAGAAGGTTTTATTGCAAAAACCTAAAAATATATAAATACTTTTGAAAAATTGAATTTTAAGATTATTTCACTGATTGTCCCTCACCTTCTGGTTGGTATCCTCCATTAAAGCAAAGTCTTCCTCCAACTTCTTTATCTTGCCATCTAAGCTAACCTTCTCCAACTGAAGCTTTTGACGAGAAGCTTCTTCTTCTTCCAACCTAAGAAGGTAAACAATACCAACAAATGAAAGTTTCTGGATTCGGTTTAAGTAACATAGTGAGATTTCTTATGTTAAAAGTGTAAATTAAGTAAAACAAAACAAAAAGATTTAAACGAATTTTTCCTAAATACTTACAGCAACATAAAATGTGACATATACTAACAATATTAAAATTGATTAATACATTGTTCAGTGAGATTACACATTAGGCATGAGTTATTATTACAGGTATTTAAGTGCCCATATTATATAGGTTAAGGTTTTACAATAAACAATTACTGACAATTAAACAATATTATGAAATAAAATTACTAAATGACACACTGCTTGGTTTTACCCTTCTATAACTAGATAAGAATACATCTTTATTGAAGTAAACTTAAAATCTTAGGCAGGTGTTCTGCACTTAGCTAACATCCTTGTGAATAGGATGTGACTAGTTGAAAACTTGCATTAATCTTTCTCTCAGGCTAAGGTTACAAAAAACTGACCATTTCACAGACTTTCTACTTCTTAGCCATGCTTTTTGTAATTATTCTCCTTGGGTGTGAGTCTTGTGCAAATGAAGAAGTGATTAGTAAAGCTGAGAGTTTATCCTTCCTTGAATATATTCTATCGGAATGAATGATTAAGTGGATACTGTAAAGATAAATATAGTAAACCTGGGAGTTTATCCTTCCTTGAATATATACTATTGGAATGAATGATTAAGTTGATACCTAGGACTGTAAAGATGAATGAATCAGAAGGAAACAAAAATACAATGAACTCACTGTTCCTCTAGATCTTGAATGTTCAATTGTAATTTCTTCTTCTCAGCTGTGAGGTTCTGATTTTGTTCTTCTTCCTCTTCTATTCTAGCTTCTAGATCATGAAGTATCTCCTCAAGCTCTTGTTTTCTTGACGAAAGCCTTAACCTGCTCTCCTCAGCCTCAGCACATAACTCTGTTTCAGCCTGCAGTTGTTCTGCTAACATATTCTTCTCATTGTCAATCTATTCATGTGGAAAATAAAAGAACCACATTATGAAAATATACCTCAGACAATCTACTTACATATAAATGAGAAGGGTCATTTTGATGACTCAAGTCCATATTTTACTCTATATTAAAGACATGCAAGTTCACAGTTATGCTATTTAAGAGATTTTCTCAGTAAGACATTTTATAATAAAAAAAACATTATATAAAATATGTCTAACTTCAAAGGTTAGTTTAAAGAATTATCAGAACTTATTTACCCAGCTACCTTGAAGACACAAATACGATGAAAAATTTCTTATTCCATTAGCTAATACTCATAATTATAAGTATAAAAGAACAAAAAGAGCTTAAATAGTTGTAAATTTTCTGAAATGCCTTTGTTTTGGGTTACAAATAAATCTAGACTGAATACTGAAATATATTTCAAATTACATATGTAAGGTCTGATACCTGTTGAAGTTTCTTTTCAAGATCTAAGGCTGCCTGTTCAGCATGTTCCATTTTCTCTTTGACTTGTCTCAGCTCATCTTCCTTAGCACTTAGTTTTTCCTCTTGTTTCGTAACTTGAAGCAAGGGTTTGACCTGTTTATCAGAAAAACAAAAACGTGCGTGTTTTCTTAGAGCAAAGGGTAACAAATTGAAGAACTCTCATTGAGTACCCTCAAAGTTATCTTCAAAACTTGGAATACAATTTAATCACTTTTTTTAGTATAGTCTCTAACAAATTCAGTATCATATATTTAGTGTTTATTTACTGCCTTTTGTATACTATCCACAAGCACAGTCTAATCAATCTAATATTTCATGAATAATCTCAATGGATTGTTTCCAGAGTCCAGTCTAATATGTAATGTTTGATTACTGACCTTTGTGTACAATCTCCACCATGCCCAGTCTCTCAGCTTGAGATAAGCAGAACAGTTTCTCTGGATAATACGAATGGCATTCAACTGTTGAAGTCGCCTCTGGTAGTTCCTAACAGCAAAACATTTTTGTTAATTCTGCTTACATTGAAGAAGTAAGGGAAAAATAAAAATGTATAGTGTTGATTGACTGTCAAATTTTATATTACACAAGTCAGTAACATTAATAAATAAAGATAAAATTAATACTTTGCTTTCATAAATATAAGTATGAACTTGTAAGCAGACTTTTAATGTGAAAATATGCTTTCTGTGGAAAATTTTTATAAAAAGAAATAATAGTAAAATCTTGAGTTAGCACTAAACCTTAAAACCAAAGTGCACAATTAAACAGGGGAAACAATTCTACACTAAAAGTATATTTAAAGGTATTTCAGCCTGTATCAATACTTGCTCAACCTTTTTAACCACCAAAAATTGAAACAACACAATCTTTTAATCATATAAAATGTTACTATCACCAAGTATTAGAAACTTTATTTGAAGCCTTTTCAATATCTGTTCTTGTGCTAACAAATCACTAGTTATAGCTCAATAAATACTAAAATTTTTTCAACTTAACTCAGATTTTACTAGAAATCATAAAATATTAAACTAGGAATTACACCTAGCTTTTGGATACTTACAAGTAATTTGTATTTTTTTGTCTCAAATTTTATAAACCATGCTGTAAAATACTTGAAAAAACTAACATGTACAATTGATTAATAACATAGCCTAAAAGTAAAAATTTAGAATTTTATCACTTTTTCTTCTGAAAAATCTTTCTACATTATTGTTCGAAGTTTCAATAATTTTAATTCTTTAATAGAATAATTATTTTTATTCTTAGCATGAAAATTACTATGCTCAGTAAAGACTTTGGAAATTCACATACAAATCTTTA